CTGGCTGCCACACTCCCCCAGGCCAGACAACTGAGGCCTGGAGTGTGCTCCTAGCTCCATCGGCTCCAGCTTTCTGGCTCTTTCCCTGCCTGACTTCTGGTCTCTTTGGCAGAACTCCAACCCCACCTCTGTTCTCCCAATCGATCTCTTAGCTATACAGCCCCTTCTTTGTCCTGTTAAATTCCATGGACCTAACTACCTTTGAGCTCACGGCTTAAATCTCCCCCAACCCAGTCTCTGGCAGCCCTGTCTCCTCCCAGACCCACTCCAAACAATTTGCAGCCTGGGAAGCCACTAATCCTGACTTGGCCCCCAAATACCTTGCCTTAATGCCAACCCCAGGGTTAGCTGCCACTTCCCTTTCCCCCTGTATGTACCCAGAGATTATGAGGACCTTAGCCTTGACGTGAAGACCGTTTCCCAACAAGTTTGGCTGGCACATTTTTTCCTTAACTTGACCCCTGACCCAGGCCTTTCAGGGCTGAGTGATTGGGGGAAAACCACTTGGGTCTGCCCCCTGGGATTCACTGATGGATGGAGCAAGCAACTAGGAGAAACTAGGGGAAAGGGAGGAAGAGGAAAAGCCTACGGGGAAGCAGTGACCCTGAGAGGAGAACAGGAGGACTCTGGGTGGGAGGTGCCCTTGTTTTGCCTGGGGAGATGGCACAGAAAGACTGGAGAATGTTCAAGTTTTCTTTATTTCACTGGGAAAAGTGGTAGACCAGGTGGCCATTCTGAAGAGCCAAAAGGCACCAAGCAGGGCTGCTGGAAATTGGAAGGAGACAAGAACATTGTTCACGGTAACAGCTATATTGAGTGATAACCAACTTTCATAGACTCGGCTCTTCTCAGCAACGCAAGGATCTAAGACATCGCCAAAGACTCATGATGGGAAATGCTGTCCATGTCCAGAGGACCATGGAGTCTGAGCGCAGAGGGAAGCATGCTATTTGCTCTTTTCATTGTCAGTTTTGTTTTGTTTTGTTTCCTCTTTCTCGTGGTTCCTCCCATTGGTTCTAATTCTTCTTTACAACATGACTAATGTGAAAATAGGTTTAATATGGATGTATGTGTAAGAGCCTAGATCAGATGGCATGCTGTCTTGGGGTGGGGGGAGAGGAGGGAGGGAAGGAGGGAGGGAGGGGGAGAAAATTTTAAACTCAAAATCTTATGGAAGTGAATGTTGAAAACTAAAAATTAATTAATTAATTAAAAAAAGAAATTGGAGGGAGAGAAAGTGAGAAAGAGCCCATTTCCCTTCTACTAGCAGGATGCAGCTAGGTCAGGAGAGGACTTTGGGGAAGGCTTCTGCCTACCAGACTCTGGCCCTCAGGACTGGAAGTGACTCTGGGGAGTGCCATCTATCTTTGGGACCAATGGCTACTCATTCATGGGTCTCAATTACATCGAACTTTCGTCTATAATGTAAAGAGAATGCTTGCACGGTGGTCTTGGTTTTCTGGCACTCACAGGCATACATTTCTACTAGGTTTCTGGACCGAGAGAGGGAAAAGTCCCCTGAGTACACAGGGAATGCACAAGCACCCCTTTGTGTCATGAGGTACCCGAGGGTGAAACAAGGAACTTCCTGTCTCCACCCAATCTAGAAGTCCCAGACCATATAGAAATACAATACTGATGATATGGCCTGATAAGAGAAACTGCTCGTTCTGGGAACCTCTCAATGCCTCCCAATAGCCTATTAGCCCTCCTGGCTGCCTTCTCCCATGGTTGGATCATCTTGAACTCCCCCAGCTTTTCTCATCCCCCTGCTGCCTTGCCCTGCCTTGCCCAGCTTGGACGTGGGGAGGTGATTTGTTGGACCTCCCTCCCTTCATCTTAGCTTTAGCTCAGTGTCTAATTCGTCCAAATCTTTTTGGATGCCAATGGTGTCCTCCAGCCTCTTAGCTGTTCTTCCTAGTTTGGGATTATTGGCAAATTTGGCAAGCATGCCACTTTTGGACATGTTGCTTTTTCTTGGCCAGTGTGACCTGGCACCAAGTAAAGCTCTTCTGTACCCTTTTAGCGCTATGGAGCCCTTTGGCAGTCAATCTGGTGAAGTATATGGACCCCTTCTCAGAATCATGCTTTGGTGCCTACATTCAGAATAGAAGGAAATGTTCAGTTTCATTTAGAGGTTAGCAAAAGTGAAGATGTCATTTTTGTTCACATTCAAGATGCTTCAAGAAGAACCTATTCACAGACCCCCTTGGGGATCTGGGGACTCTAGGTTAAGAACCCATGTACTAGAGGCATCCTGATGGAGTAAAAGGGGTACTGAGCTTCAAGTTGGGAGGACCTGAATACAAATCCCACTTCAGACTGCACTGCCAACTGCAATTGCCCTGGGCAAGTCACTTCCCCTCTGGGGGCTTCAGTCTCCTCTGTGCAGCTGTGAGGTTGGACTCGATGACCTCTAAGGTGCTGTCTAGCTCTAAATCTGAGTCTATGACAGTCTACTCAAAGCAGCCTTTGTCTGTCATTGGGAAGCTGGGGGATTAGGGCTCCCCGGATTAGGTGACTTGGTTTCTTGCCTGAACCCTTGCTCCAGAGCATGCTTGGCCTGACCTCAGACCAGGCAAGATCCAGACACCAGAGCCCCCTGATGACCTTTCTCAAGTATGGCACTGGCACACAATATGAACACAGGGACATGGGAAGGAGATGACTGACCATCCCTTCCCACCAGCTATGTGCCTCCTGGAACCTTCCCTGGCTATTCATTCCCGGTAGCCCCATGTACAGTACTGCACTGTGAACCTCCAAAACCATGGGGTCTCCTGACAAGGGCCCAGTCCCTAGAAGGGGACGCAGTGTAAACCTTCCCTGACTCAGCCCGGAAATTGGAGGGAGAGAAAGTGAGGCAAGGGCCTGAGTGAGCCTGCGGATCAAGGGCTGGACATCTTAAAGGGAGTGGTACTATTCTTGTACAGAAGCTCGGCCCTGTGGCCCGGCACCCCCCCCCCCCCTTGAAAATGATTTAGCAAGCTTGGAAAAAACCTTGGGGGTAGAGGGGGAATGGGTGGGGCAGACACTGGCCACAGAGGGAGCTTTACTGAGGCTTCACTGCCACCTGGTGGCAAATCAAGATCAAAGCAGCCTCAAGCTGCTTCACTCCTGCATTCAAAAATCTGCTTGGAAGATCCAGGCCAGGCCTTGGGTGGCAGGCCCATAGCTGGCTAATCTGCAGAAGAGCAAGCTGAGGCTGGACAGTGAATGCTTAAGAAATACTCCACTGGGTGGCTGATCCAGGTGAGAGAGTCTCAATCTGTTGTTGGTGTCCATGAGGAATTGTGTGTTCAGTGGGCCATGTAAGCTTGCAACAAGGAGCACCTCCAGGCAGTCGGGCCTGTAGAGCCATCACCTGGGCCTCACATTCTTCTGCCTCTCTTTCTGGTCCCAGCCTGATCTGGGAAGAGCAGACCACAAACTAGAGGTGGGAGCAGGAGCTGGGGACTGTGGAAGGCTTTGACACCTTGTGATCATTTGTCATAGGCTAGGCTGAAACGAGCCAATATTGATCGAGAAAGTTCACTAATCAAAGCAGTACTTCCAAGGAGGTCAGAGGCTTGTAGATCAAGAGCTGAGAAGGACCTGGGAGGTCATCTCCTCCATGCCCTTCATCCTTTACAGAGGATGAAACAGAAATGAAGCATCCTATGAGGCAGACTGGCAGATTTTAAAGTGGCCCAAGGTCATGGTGTGATGAAATGGCTCATGATGATGCCTTGAGTCAGAAGACAAAACCTCTTAACAATGGGGTGGGGAAGTGGGGGGTGGGGGGGAACAGCCTCAATCCTAGCACTCAGAGCTGTCCTGTCCTCATACTCCAAATAAAGAGATGCCAGGAAATGTACCCGACAAAGCCAACCCCAAGAGTTTATGAGAAATCTGATTCGATCAGGCAGACACAGTCTTTAATTGAATTTTTTAAAAGAGCACAATTAGAAATGGGTGCTTGTTGCACCCAACTGAGGTGAAGCAGGATAAGGAGGGTGTCTGCCCGTCTGCCATGTTTGTTTTTTTCTTTCAGTGCTCCAGCCATGGTTTAAACTCCCCAAACCCAAAGCACGCCCAGTCCTATACTTTTTTGCTTGTCTGTGGTGGAGGCTTGGGTTTGAAGAAAGCAGCAGCAGATTGGATGGTACCACCACTTACCAGTATTCATATGCCAGGGGGCCCCTGCCACCTTCTTTGCCTCAAAACTCTTGCTGGATGGGGGAGGGGAAACCCTGCTCTCCAGTCCTCATCTTACATTAGCTTCTTCTTTAGGTGGTATAGGAGATAAAGTGCTGGGCTTGGAGTCACGAAGACCTGGGTTCAAATCCTACCTCAGACACTTACTAGCTCTGTGACCCTGGGAAAGTCACTGAAATCCTCTCAGCTTCAGTTTCCTCATCTATGAAACAAGGATAATAATAGCACCTACCATACAGTGTTGTGATGAGGATCAAATCCATGTAAAGTGCTTTGCAAACTTTTCCCGAGCTTTGAATAAATATAACTTCCAGGGTCTTTGTGGCCAGCCCAAGCTTTGCCAGAGGGCTGTCATTTTCCTCCCCAGGCTTTGGAATTTTACAGTCCCTTGCAAAATCAGCTGGGACAACCATGGCTCCTGCCCTTATACAATATCTCACCAAATGCAAATTAGGACACAACAGACTAAAGGCTATTCACTAACCTCCCAGGAAGTCACCTTAGAATGCCCTACACAGCAAACAGGCAGCAACAATGTGTGCACCAGACATTGCATGACAAGCACCATCACTTGGCTGGTCACTTCAGGGCTAAATTACATGCAGGATCGTGCAGTCAATGCAGCCTCTGAAGCTGAGATGCAACAAAGCATGGATCAATTCTCTGCTGCTTGTGTTCATTTTGACCTAACAATTAACACTAAGAGAACACTTCTGTACCAGCCAGCACCACACCATCCATACGTAAAACCACTGGTTACAGCAAATGGAGAAATATTGAATGCTGTAGATAAGGTCACTTACCTCGGCAGTATTCTTTCCAAGGATGTTCACAGAGATGATGAGGCTGACACACGCATTGCCAGAGCTTGTTCAGTGTTTGGGAGAGGAGAGGTAGGAGGCTGTATACCAAACTGAAGGTCTGCAGAGCTGTTGTGCTGACCTCATCGTTGTATGCTGCCATTCCAGGAAACTGAATTGCTTCCATTTGAATTGTCTTAGGAAGATTCCGAAGATCATCTGGCAGGAGAAGATACCAGACGCTGAGGTCCTTTCTCGAACTGAACTGCCACACATTCAAATTCTACTGCAGAGTGCACAACTCTGATGGCTGGCCACATCATCTGAATGAAATATGTTTGCCCAAAAGACTATTTAATGGAGAACTCACGCAGGGCAAGCTCTCACATGAAGGTCAGAAGAAGGATACTCTCAAGGGCTCTCTTAAGAACTCTGGTATTGATTGTGAGATATGGGAGACATTGGCACAGGACCTTCTAGCATGGCATTCCCTCATGCCCTCAAGAAGGCTCTGTGTTCTATGAGCAAAGTAGAATTGTAGTAGCTCAAAAGAAACATGAGATGTGCAAATTTAGAGCCATCTCCACTCCAAATGTTCATGCGGACTATTTGTGCCCGTCCCATGGGAGAGCCTTCCGAGATCACACTGGTCTGCCCAGCCACGGTCAGGCACACTGTCCCTTGACCTCGACACAGTGATGTCATTTTGGTTCTTTTCAAGCACGAAGGACAACCAACCAATGAACTGAGCTGCAGGTTATATCACGTGCATGCTTCATCACGTCACATATGTGACCCTCAAACAAAAGCAAATGAACATAGAAATAACAACAATGGCGGACCTATAACTATCCTCAGCCCCATGTTGGCTCTTGGGCTTCCCTGGCTCTAACCCTAATTCCATTTGTAACCCTGTTCTTCTCCAGTGCATTTAACCTGTGTGGGGCCATTCCATCACACTGGTATAACCAAAACCAAGTCTGTCTCCAGATGATGGCATATGCATGTCAGTTTGTCAGGGGGAACCCGGGGAATCTCTGGGTCCAAGACTTTTCCAAGGAGATCAGTACTTTCCCTGGTATTCTCCTTTGGAAACCTTCTTGTGAGTTTCAATTTCTGTATTCCTGGACCTTGTATTTTTGGCCCATATTTTGGCATAGGTTTCTGAACCACTTGCTTGTGGGGCTTCCCAGACAGCCCTGGGCCTATTTTGCAAGTCACTTATAATGTCTAGCAACTCTTGTAAACTAGGTGGATTCCCCTGGAAGTGCCAGCTACTCAACCCTACTCTAATGGATCCATTTTATTTGAGACCTGTGTACACTCATTCCAACCTGGCCTCACCCTCCATCTCAAGATTTATTGCCCCTAATTCTATTAATCTCTGTCCATTTAGCATGTGCATGAGCATAATCACACAGCTTCTCACCTTTGCTGTGACATGTAGACGCAACAAATATGGAATATGCTTGACTTGGTGTTTCTCCATCCCCAAAGCATTATTCAAGGCCATTTTGCTATGTTCCTCGTGGAGTCCTGGCTATCGGGCTTCCCCAAAGGGCCTTTCCATCAGCCAGGCTCTCTTGACCACATTATACGCTGCTCCTGACACCCACGTAATCCAGGTTTCCCACATTTGTTTTGGGGAAGGGGCACAGCAACTTTTGAAGAGTATCTACCAAGGCAGAGGAGGGCTGCAGTCTGGAATCTGCAAGTGACTTCTCCTCTCTTGGCCTCAGTTTCCCTGCTTATAAAGTAGGAATAATAATAGCACCTGGCTCACAGGCCAGTCGTGAGACTCTCATGAGATCATGGATACCAAGGGCTTTCACAGAAACCCAGACTCTCCAAGCTGGAAGGGGTCTCATCAGCTCCCTAGTTCAACCCAGACCTGAACAAGAGTCCCTGTCTCTGCACCATCTTGGAGCAGGAGTCAGCCGGCCACTGCTGGAAGGCCTTTCTGAAGGGCCAGAGCAACACTGGCTGTTACTGTTGTTGGAGGTGAGGCATGGTGGGGGCCCAGAGACTAGCCGCCTCATTTACTGCCTCCCAAGCCTTTGTTCACAAAGGCCGATGGCTTTTCTAGGTAAATAATCGTCGTCAACACATCCTGGCATTTTTACCTCTCTATTTCCTCTGTGAATCCTTCTAAATCCCTTTGATTTCCTCCTTAGTGCAATTCTTAGCATTTCTAATGCTTCATGATGAACGAGCCTGAGCCTGAGTTACATTTCTGTTTTGAGTAGGAATGTTCCAAATGTTTTTCCGTTATGTATAATGGTTGTCATTCTGGGTTTCCAACAGATACTTTTTAAAACTATGTATTCTTTTTAGAGAGAATGTGTGTGTGTGTGGGATCATTGATGGATGTATTTGATTGAAGCCTTTTTCTGTATCTCTTTTGGTTTTTATTTTCTTATTTGAATGATATCGAGAGTCCTGGGCATGCAGTCAACAAGACCTGGGTTTGACTGCCATCTCTAATACACCATCCTGGGCAACTCAACCAATCAACAGGCCTTTATGAGGCACCTGCTATGTGTCACACACACAAGTTCCTGCCCTCAAGAACCTTTTATGTTATTAGAAGAAATAAGAGAAAAAGCACAAGCTAATTGGGGAAGGGGAGAGACTGTGATAGGGTGCTTGGGGCCTCTGCTTGGACCCCAATTTCTCCCTAGCCTCAGAACCACTATCCCTGGCAGTTTCCCCCCAGCCCAAGGACACTGTGCCCAGCCATTACTCATGAGTGGGCCCGAGCAGGACCCTCATGTCTGTCCCTGGTGCAGCGACACAAAGCCGGGTGAGAGAGTGCTGGGCTGCTCAGGGCCCAGCCCTCAGATCACGTCCACAACAACTGGCGGCTGGAGAGGTGAGGAAAAATTCCATTAGAAGGTGGTGCCTGTTATGCCAAAGGGACTCCATTTTGTGCCTCTACATTTCACTGACCTTTGAGCTTCCTGCCCTTCAAATGTTTTCTGTAAAACTCCCCACTCACAAAGACATCAGCACACGCCCTGATCTTGCCCTGATTACACAGCTTGGCTGATGCGCACCTGTTCCTTTCTAGCCAAAGAGACATGAACCTCTGGGCCCTTGTGCTGACCAAGAGCCTTGGACCCGATTTATTTATTCATTTACTTATTCACTTATTTATTTATTTGTTTGTTTGTTTGTTTGTTTATTTACTTATTTATTCTGCAGCTGCATGCTCTGCTAAATAAATCATCTGAATGTAACTTGGTGCCCTTATTTTCTATAAACATGCCAGAGCTGCACTTTGGAGGAAACTAGAGATTCAGTTTCTAGAGGTAGAGGTACACTCCAGATATTGAAGATAGCCTGTGCAAAGGTGTGGAGGGGAGAATATGGAATGCTGTGTGTGAGAAACAGCAAAAAGGGCCATGGTGGCTGGACCATAGAGCGCATGAAAGGAAGTGAAGTCTAACAAAGCTCAAAAGGTGTCCAGCAGTGGATACAGCTCCAGCCTTGGAGTCAGGAGGACCTGAGTTCAAATCTGACCTCAGACACATAACACTTACTAGCTATGTGACTCTGGGCAAGTCACTTAACCCCAATTGCCTCACCAAAAAAAAAAAAAGTGGCCAAGTTGTTAAGTTCTTTAAATGTGAAGCATAGGATTCTATATTTGATCTTAGGGAGTCACTGGTGGTTATTGAGCAAGGAAGTGACACGGTCAGACCTGTGCTTTTGGGAAGATCACTTTGGCAACTTTGTGCGGAAGAGGGGAGATGCTTAGCATCATATGCTCCTAACTCCAGAGCCAGAAGGAAGCCTAGAGGCCCTGTAGCCAGAGGTGTCAAACACATGGCCTGGCACTCTGGAGTGTGGTCTGAACCAGATGAAAATGCACTTCCTGAATGTGCTGATATATTAATTAGAAATGAAAAACAGCCTGCAGGGATCCATGGCCCCATTTCTATTGGAGTTTGATACCACTGATTTAATGTATTCCCTTCACTTTTCAGATGAGGAAACTGAGGGCTTGATGTAGGGCAACCAATTGTTGTGGTTGCTGAATTATTTTTCAGTCGTGTCTGACTCTTCAGGACATGGTTTGGGGCTTTCTTAGCAGAGATACTGGAGTGGTTTGCCATTTCCTTCTCCAGCTCATTTAACAGATGAAGCCTTTCTGTCCTTAGCTAACATTCATATAGTTGGTTTGCAAATTGCTTTATACAGATTCTTCTTTGATTATAAGGATAGCCCCTGGGGTAGGTACTATGATTATCCTCATTTTCCAGAAGAGGAAATTGAGGCTCAGAGAGTGGCCTGTCCAGGATCATACAACTATTAAGTATCAGGAGGATTTGAACCCAGATCTTCCTGACTGATTCTAGTCCCCTATCCACTACACTACAGTCCCTCTACCTCTAGTTAGAAACAATCTCCATCATATAGGGATGACTTGTCTTTGGAAGGCTTGGGAAGAATTCGCCTGTGACCCCATATAAAGCCATGATTGTGAGCTGACATGTTGCAGGCACTGCAGCCAGCTCTCACCTGGAGAGGTAAATGAGAAAAGTTCAGAGTGAGCTTCTACACCTAGGAAATCAACAAGTCTGGGCTTCATTTATTGTTTGGTCCTTTGTCTAGACTTTAGAGTGTGCTGGAGAAAATGTCAATGATGCAGATTAAACTTCAAAGAGAGTTACACATACATGTCTTCACCCAGCTCCCCCAAGGTTGTTAAACATTTACCAGCTACCAGCTCTGTGTTGGTGAATTTCCCTACGCTGGCAGCAGGTTTGAGCCCAGAATTCATTGGTGATTCATTTGGTAATTTCTGGCGCTTAATTTGTTCACCTTAAGGCATCTCTTTTATGTAGTATTAGTTTGAAAAACTTGGGAGATTTTGCTAACAAGTACCCTTTACATTTAATTTCTCCAAGAAGCCTAGAGCTTTCTTATATTCCCAGATGAGCTGATGAACTTTCTGAGCTCGAATTTCAACTCTGTTTTTCATTCCTTATATGACCTTGATCAAGTCATGGAACCCTTCCATGTCCTCAGTTTCTCTATCTGCAAATGAGGCATTTTGACTACATGGCCTCTTACCTTCGTTTCCTCTTTACATCTCGGTGGCCTCTGATTCTAAGACCGCACACTATCAC